AAGACCTCAGTCAATCTCACTGCTAGTACTGGACCACCATCCTTAAAAATCTCAGGGGTCAACCTGTCAGGGCCTGCTGCTCTCCCTCGCTTCAGATTTCCTATAGCTTTTTCAACCTCACAGAGGGTTGGAGGACTTACATCAATTTGCCATTCAGGACGACTGGGGATCGTGGGTAACTGAAGTGTGGCTGAAGGCTAGTTGAACTGATCCCTAAAGTGTTCTGCCCATCGATCCAATCTCCTGGATTGAGAATGAATAATATGCCCATCTTTATCTGAGATGGTTTCACTGATATTCGGGTTCCTAATACCGGTTTCTTTAACGAGTCTGAATAGCTGCCTACTGTTACCTATTGCCGCTGCCTTTTCCATCTCTCTTGCTTTCGCTACCCACCACTGTTCACGATCATTACGTAGGCTTCTTATAAGCCTGCGCTTAAGTTGACTTCGCTCTTCGTTATGCTCAGAGCCAGGTGGGATGAGTTTACGAGCATCTATCAGTGCGGTAGATGCTGCCGAGATCCATTGTTTCTCCCTAACGTTATGGTTTACCTTACTAGCGGATATCACTGCTGTTTCCACAGCTTTACGGATGTCATTCCACGCTGCCTCGGGGTGGACACAACTTACATGGCTGCCTAACTGTTTTTCTAGTTGTTCCTGAAATATATTCTTAGCTTGCCTATCATTAAGTAGAACCCTTAGAGGCTTCCCTGCAGTGTCTTTCCTACGACCAGTAAGACGCAGACAGATACGTGCTCGCACTAGAGCATGATCTGAATCTAAACATGTACCCCAGAATGAGCGACAGTCTTCTACCGAGCCCCTCCATCGGTGGCTGAAAGCGATGTGATCTAATTGGGTCCAACGTTCGGACGAATTCGGGGGTCGCCATGTCAAAAGATGTTTCTCCTTATGCTTAAAGTTAGTATTTGCAAGAAATAGGCGGTTATCTGAGCACAGCTGCAACAGACGGTCGCCATTATCTGTTCTTTCCGCCATGACACCATAAGATCAACCCAGATGTCTTTCCCTTTCATTTAGTTTACCTACTTGAGCATTAAATTCACCAGCCAATATTACTACATCGGAACGCCTAGCTTTTCGGAGAAGGTCAGAAAGTTTCCTGTAAAACTCATCTTTTATATCGTCTGAGCTGCAGTCAGTGGGAGAGTAGGCAGAGACGACGAAGAGGCAACGACGAGTTTCCCTATCTTTCCGAGTCCTTACTGATCCGTTTAGTCGGACAGCGCATAGACGACTGTCTACTGGGATCCAGTCTAAAAGAGCTAGTTCTGCCCTAGGACTTAATGCTATACCTACTCCAGCGAGGCCACGGGAAGCAGCGTCAGGGCTTCCAGATACACGAAGCGTGTATCGAGATGAATCTTTATTTTGATTAGGTGCGGTCAAATGAATGACACTACTCGAATCTTGTATGCGCGTTTCGGAGACGCAGCACACATCGATGGTGTAAGATTCTAGAGTCCTAGCTAAGGGAGCCTGTTGTCCTATTTGGCACAATGTTCGGACATTAAAAGTTCCTACATGTAGTTTAGAGCGTGGTTTCAGGAGACCAGGAATAACGTTCTGTGTACTCGAATCGTTTGCCCTAGCGGTGCGAGGTGATAAAAGGACGTGGGAAGGGTTAGTCGTGGAGATAACAGAGTTATTAGGTGTAGGAAGGATTTGAAAGCGACCAACTTGGTCTTGTGTGCAGTTAAGGGTATGAGGGCTAGTATCACTTCCCGGCTGCCCACACCGTGGAAGGGTATTTCTTGAGGGACCTCGGGTTCAAATCTAGAGTGAATATCAACTATGAGGTGAAGGCACATCCGGCTGACGAGTCCCAAATAGGACGAAAGGGGCGTCAAACTGGATTCCACTGCTAGCCACTACCCATCTTTTCTTATTATGTTATAATGGTTATATCTGGTCAATCCACATGAGATGGACATATTACAATCAAGACTGATTAAATTTTGGTTAACATATTAACAACGGGATAATTTGTTGGCTGAATTTATCCATCATGCTTTAAATATTCAACGAGCGAGTAGTATCGAGTACTTTCGGCAATATTTATATTCATTTCATAGGTGAGTGTAATTTTCATTGTGGATTTCGTTTCAAGCACTAACATTCACTGACATATTAGTGTAGCTAACTCTAGATGGTTAAAATCAAATCAGTCATGAGAAATACATGTTTCTATACACTACTCATTCACTAAATAAACGAAAATATAACTGAAAGTGTTATCGATCATACAATTATTGAATATCTAAAGCACGATAGATAACTTCAGTCTATAATCATTGAACAATCCTAAAGTAAAACACCTTAATTTTTTCAAGTGTAATACAGAGAGAGTATAGCTGGTTAGATATATGTATAGTATTCCATATTGCATTACTCTATTTAATCCCTTTTAATTACCTGTTCTTCATTGTTTCATTAGGATTCAATGTTTATATAGTGAATTACCTTAGTATTTAATTGTGTAACATTGTGACGTTTATAGGTATCATTACCAAGACTTGATTTGATAATTTTGAATAAATTGAGCATTGGGTAGATTGTTATAAATAAATTATATATTTGTAATATCCCAATGAGTAGAAAAATTAGATTTTCTGACGTTTCGTGACTCAGTGTAAGCCACTTCTTCATTGATTTATTCAGACCGGTTTTTGATTGATCACCTAATATTCTTTGATTGTTCCGTTGTACTATTTAAACTTGGATTAATATTAATTTGGTTATTTATTCTCTGAAGAAGTGGCTTACACTGAGTCACGAAACGTCAGAAAATCTAATTTTTCTACTCATTGGGATATTACAAATATATAATTTATTTATTGTGACGTTTAGTTCAACATCACTTCTGTGTTCTACTAAACATAATGATTTCTTAGTGTAATATTTGTTTCATTATCAGTGTGATATTTATTCGAGATAAGATATTCTTCGTCTTAAATTAACGTGCACTATATTCAGCATGATATGCGATGTGCCATAATCTAATGGGTGTGTACAATAATATTTAAATGTGTATAATTTCGGCTGGGGTTTTCGTCGAGTTTTCTTGATGAATAAATCTCCAATTGTACACAATCTTTTGTGTTCTTACATAGCGTCGTGGGGACTGTTGAAGCTCGAGATACGATGGTGTACATGTATAACCTTACTGGATTCGCTCGACTATCTTCCACTGGTTGTGATAGATAACCGCCTTACATCAGAAATACTTTAGCTCCACTAGTTACGGTTCCACACTAGAACTCCTTGAGTTACATCCCATACCAGGAAGAAACACCTGTTCAATGCTTCCTGATCTTCGAAAGTGCTCTAACTAAAGGTCAGTTCGTGGTTTAATCTATGAAAATTATGCAATCTCCATTTCTGATACAAAGTATTCACTTTTAGTCCTATTATAATCAATAATACAACACAGAGAACACCAACACAATTACACTCTCGAAGATGTGTAATGTTTCACATACCTGGTTGGAATCATCAATCAACAAGGAGGGATTGACAAAGGGCAGCATCCCTACAGTTGAAGAATATATGGAACTCAAAAGTACTGTAATCCAACGTTAAAGTCGGTATCTTCAATATGAATGTAAAGAAAGTTCTACTGTACGGAGCTCAAACTTTGAGAACTACTACAAGCATCGTCAAACGGGTACAGGTATTTATAAACAATCATCAATACAAGATACTCCAGATCTGTTGATCGGGTACTACCAGCAACAACCGCTTATGGCAGAAAACAAACCAACTTCCATCTCGAGAGGAAATTATAAGAACACTCTGGAGTTGGACAGGATATATATTGTAGAAATCATTAAACTGCATCACCAGGGAAGTGCTAATTTGGAATTTTGAAGGGAAACGAAAAAAAGGAAGACACAAAAGCACACTGCGCCGGGAATCGGAAGCAAACATTAAAAGAATGAATAATAACTGGGAATGATTGCTCAGGACAGAGTTCGGCGGAAAATGCTGATGGACGGCCTATGCTCCTCCACAAGGTGTAACAGGCGCAAGTAAGTGCGATATTACAGCAACTGAATGACTAAAAAAGCCCATACAAAATTAATAGAAAAATATCTTTATTTAATGATTTTTGAAAACAATTTCACAGCTATGCAGAAGCGTACATTCATAAGAACACGAATAATAATAATAATAATAACATGTATAAGCTCAACTTTCAAAAGAGAAAAAAATAATAAAACTCTAAAGAACATAGAAACAGAGGGAAGTGAAAAATAAGTCGATGAAAATCTTTACTTCTTAGTCATTTTGGCTTTTTTTTTTGTTTAACAAAATATAGAACTCATAAGGAATTAAAAAAAGAACAAGAGGAGGCAGCAGTTAGGATGACCAAATAAACACAGAAATAATAATCTTGATTACATTTACATGTCATTATCATCTTAAGTGTATCTTTGATGAAGAAAAAAATTGTACATTGAACAGTCAGATAACTGGGCAACTAGCCAAGCCTGCATCATGTATCTGTATTATAATGGATTGTCCAAAAATAAAAAATAAAAATCACTTTTTATAAAATAAATAAATAATTACTAACTACAATTTGCTAGTTTTATTCAGTAGTATATAAATTTACAAATAAATATTGTAATATGCTGTTTCTTTTTACTTTGGCTGTTTGTTTAAAGATATAACCAACAACAGAAATCTGATATTACAAGTAAGCACATCTATTATATAAATATCAGAAAGGGTAAGTATTAACATTGAAAAGTGTTGGTATATATGAAAACAACAAAGATTGATTATCCTATCGATCAATAATGATTAAATGTTAGGAGAGTAGAAGCAGTAGTAACGGTAATGAGAATACTCAATCATTATTGTTTATTTTAATTTGATGTACATTTAGAGAGAAATAAGGGAGGGGGGGAGAATAAGTAGTATATATGTATATATGCAATGAACATCTTGTAAAGTTTGATTCATCCTTTAAATATCGGATAACTAGAACAAACAAAAAAAGGTTATTATACAATCATATTACATTTCAAAATAAGATAAGCATTTATGACAACTTGCTCATAATGATATGTGAAATATTATTATTACTATATAGAGAAAATTGAAATTAGTTAGGGATTGTCGAACCAAGCAAATTAGAAGTGGTTGACATTAATTTCAATAATTTTCATTATGGATAGATAACAGATGTGATATCATAGAAAGCTAGACAAAAAAAATAATAACTGGTTAGCTCTACTATCCTATTAAGGATTCGAACTGATGATCATGAATGGGCATTCCGTTAAAGCATAAATTGATTGAATTTAAAAGTATACATGATTTGAATTTTAACTATATGGTCTCAAGTGTTTACAGAGAAGTTTAGAAGTGTTTTATATCCTTTGATTAAAAGTCCTATGCAAAGACAAAACAGTAGTCAAATCCTTCACTGTTTTGAATGGTATCTTAACTGAGATTACTACTACGTTATAAATGTCACTTTCAAATGAAACTAAAGTATTTCATCTTATTGGTAATTTATACTTGATACACTACCGTTGAATACACGTTGCTCCATTGTCTTGTGGATTAGACCTCGAGGTCAAAGGTTCAGGGTGTGGCCTCCTAAAACCACCTGCTTCGGTTTGGGCACCCGGCCAGTATCACAGCCCTTACACAAATAAGCGATAACTACCATTGGCCTCATTGTTATTGTGTGATGCGTATGTATTGGGTACCCTCTTGTACTAATGTTTATGTGTTCAAATAAATAAATAAAATACACGACTTATGATTTTTAGAAGTCAAACAATTTAAACATTTGTTTTAATAATACATGCAACAGATATCTAAGCACAATAACAAATGTAATTCCATACTAGTAGTATGAGCGATATCAAAATATTGCGTAAATGTAACTCAGACCGGTTATTAGAGTGATTGATATTTATCGGTTTAGATGATTATATTATGTGTTACAAATCTAAGGTTACTATTTTCTTTGATGTGAATTTCTGGCTAGTATAAGGGTGAATCGCAAAAACCTGGTAGTGCCCAGTTCATGAAATCACTAACTATTTGTTTAAGCTGTATTGCAAAGTCGAGAGTGAGTATAAGGGTTCATGAGTAGTGATCAATGTAATGTTCACATAATCCTTAGTACTGATGGAATTCTATCAGTCAAACCTCTATGCAGCCACTAGTTCATGTGACGTAACATTGTGTGCACTATGTTTTGCCGTTAGGTTGTTAGAGGTAGTCGAAAGGAGACCCTGCTCGACAAATGTTTTATAGTGGTTGGCTCTCGTCAAAAATTCATACCTATAAACGTGAGGGAACTGATGCTCCTTTTGGGATTCAAGTATACATCACCCAGCACCACAGTCTGATATTTTAACAATCAGTTATTCGGTTTGCAACTATCCTCCACAACTGAGCTTTTAAATATAACTTATCAATATGACGGTTATTAGAAAGTTCCTAATCTTCTTTACATCGCTCATGATTATTCAGTATAATCTACCCTTATTTTTACTAAATGATAATGGATTTGAAGAAATTTAACATCAGAAACTTAATTAAACTGACATTTATTGATTACCAAGCGGCATTGGACAGCTTGATTCATTGTAATATAACACTCTCCAGCGATGTGCATACAAGCCACCTCCTCATGAAGTGTCAGATCAACGATCAGTAAGCATACTACTTCCAAATTAAATTACAGTAGTTTTTTTATTTCAAAGGTTGATAAATTCTATTTGTTTTAATGAGAGATTCGTACAGACTCCGATTCAGAAGAATTACCGGAAGTGTTTGAATAAGATTATTACTATTATTACTAAGAATCCAATAGACTATTAATTTTATTACATTGATTTATTGTACGATGTAAATTTTATCTAGTTTACATAGCGAACTGAAAGTAATTATTTGTTTATCTTCATATATATATATACAATGATTCTCTTGAACTTACTGATGTGAACCGCGAAACAAGAAGCCTTAAGAAACTACAGAAGCTATTTTGAGGGACGTTATTTCACTTAATTCAAGGCTTGCATAATGGTAACATGTACTTTTGCCCCTAGTCTATTCTACAGATGATAAGCTTTCGTTTGATGTATGATTCGCTACCATAGCCTTTTCTGTTCCAAAGCTATTGTAATTTAGACGTAACCTATTGTATTGTATTTTCTACTCTAATCCCCCAGTTTTGGATATAATTGTATTTTCCTAATTATTTTACGTTGTGGTCAGGTCAGTTATCTATTTATTCATGTATCTTTTTGCACTGATCGGAATTCGGGTACCAGATCGGGGATTGGGATACAGCGAGTAGTGTTCCGGTTGTTTTGTCAGCAAATCAGGGATAAAATAGTTTTCGTCTCTCTATCCGCACCTCGAACTCACGCATAGTAGCCTCAAGGTTAAGCCAGTCAGCCAATCGCGTCAAGGTCTTGATCTACATTAGACAAGTTATCTTCGGCACAAAAGTGGGTAGACAGATCAAGGATGTAACACTTACACACAAAAATACATATGAAACAATAATTCATTTACTTCCTTTTTTCAAAATAGTTTTGAAAGAGAAAGAGGATAAATCAAGAGAAATTGAGTAACACGAATATATTAATTGTGAACAGGTTAATTAAACCAGTACACTGATAAAGAATAAAACAAACTACGTTTTATTTACAATGCAATATTAAGTTGTTGTTTTATTCTTAATAGTGTAACATGTTTTTAGGTCGAACGTCTTTTTTTTCTTAAATATTGAGAAAATGAAATACTTATCCATCATTGTAGAACGTGTGATTTTCTTTGAATAAAATAATGCTGAACACGTAAAATATTGTATTCCACCTTAGTAGTCGTCTAAAAGAAGTTAGGCTTTCTCCCCGAGATCTGAAAGTCTCAGGTTCGTTCCTTGGTATGGTCTGGATGTGGACTAATGATGAGTCCAACATTAAGAAGGTACAGATGCCCACTGCTTCCTTTATTTATTTATTAATTTAAACACATAAATATTAGTACAAAGGGGCGCCCAATAAATATGCGCCACACAAGTCACTTGATTTTTGTGTGGGCTGTGATAATGCCCGGGTACCTAAACTGAAACAAGTGGATTTCTTAGGAAGACACACCCGGAGCCTTTGACCTAAACATCTAGTTCTCAAGTCAGTAGAGCAAAATTTAATAGATGCAGTCCCATAGTAGTCGGTGACCAACAATTGGTTTATACGCCTATTGTTTCTTCAAGATACTGGAGCCCATGTGCACCATTGGTTTGGAATGAGGGTTTTCCAACTCCCCTATATGGATCCCCCATATCCATCGACCCGATAAAAGCACCGAACATTCGCTTTTCGTCCTCTCAATTTCGTAAACAACACCCCTGCCGCGATGAGGCAGTGATTAAGAATTTCCTGGCAGTGGTTGTATACGCGTGGCCGTGTGCGAGCATTTCGAGAGGGAAAGCTGACTCTCTCCACCCTCGGCCGTACCAGAGCATTTAACAAAGACTTAACTAAGATTAATTAGTAATGATAACTGTAAAATTCAACAATCTCCACAAATTCTCATACTGAAAAATAACAATAAGAAATTGATGGTTCGATTCCACTAAAGATAAATTTATTTTCATTTCTGAAGATAACAATAATAATGTTGAAGAGGAAAATTGAGGAATGAATACTTATTTAGTAATAATGTCTTTCAAATCATGAGATTAAAAAACCCGAGTTCAAATCTTACAAGCATCCGTGATATGATAAGTAAGTATTAAGCCTGACAGTCAGTTATTTTCATTAATTGACGAATGAGTGACCGGTATTCGTCTAAAAGGGCGACCACTAAAAAGTCGTATATTAGTAAAGGTGAACTTCAAAAGGGCGGAATAACATTTGTAATGGTGTTAAATCTGTTTGACTTCCTGTCTATCCTAATACACTCAGACAAATCCAAAAAATTGGTTCTCTGGACGTCTACTGAAGAGTCTACTATTAATAAATACTGAAACTTTTCAAATTTATTAACAAATTATTTATTTTATTACTCTAGTTATGTTATGTTGTACATTTATTTCGAACAGTCAGGAGATAGTCTATTTAGAGGAATGCTTTGAAAACGTTTGAGAAATATTTGGTGAGTTTCTCTTTTTGAATAGGTTTCAATTGCTAAAAATATATTTTTCTTTTAAAACTAAAAATGATTGTACTATTTCATGTAAATAGTCTAGTGCCGATCTGATCTTGCCAACTTCTGTGAACAGTTTGATAGGTATTACTAACTTTTTATAATTTCTTTTTAAGTGTATTGCTAGATTTCTGCAAAAAGGTGTTTAATTTTCAATCGATTCAAACTCTCAGAGCATCAATAAATTCCCATCTGATTTGGATAAGCTGCACCAATAAATTGGATAAAGTCTTTGAGAAAACAATATACCGAATTATTTATGAGACTACCTAGCCATAATCTGAATAATCTAGTGGTAATGGCGAAAACTGTAAAGCTAGATGACTTAGGTTCAAATCCTGTGGAAAGTATCAACTTCCTCAAGATTACAGGAATACCATAATGACAAGAGTCAACTAGGACAAGAATATGATTAAATAGAATTCCGTGTTGATTACCTCGAAAAAACACTTAACATCTTAACAAGGTGTATGCAATGTCAGCACATTCAGACTAGTGGTCACATTGAAACTAAATTGACTGAAGTTTACCAATACTAAAAGATTAAACACACATGGTCATTGGTCTGTTCTCAGTCACAAAATCAATTGTAGACAATATATTTTATTTATGGGACAAACGAAAAGAGAGGCGTTTTAAGATAGTTTGAAAGAAAAAAAGTTAAACTATTACTTCTACTTACTGTAATATTTTTTATCTGACTATATCTGGTCTAGATACCTGAAAGAAAGCATCAATATCCAAGTGATTCGAAGACAGATATTAGGTTTAGTGATATGGAGAGTAATAACTTAATCAATTGGAATTCGAATGACATATGGAATTGACTTTTTCTCCAATTGTGTGTGATATTTATTCATCACATCTTAAGAAAGATTATAGTTGCTTGATTGCATAGCATGGCAAATATGTGTCCACATAGTAAGTGATTGAATTATTACTGTTAGATACAACTCAGTTTAAATGATACAAATATGAATGTTAACCTAACTATAAGTAAGACATATGAAATGTGATGTATTCATAAATTATTTTGATTTATTCTAAGAGTTAGATACATCTTTAATACTGGTCTTCGCGTATTTTTTATTGTGCTCAGGTTTCCGTGTAGATTTGCTCTGAGGTCAATAGGAGTTCGGATCGAGCGTTTATTTAACAGAGTGAAATTCTAATAAATGAAGATTGAGATTACTCTATGGAATGACTAAACCAAGTGTAGATATTATGAGTGACGAGTAGATGGTAATTTTTGAGTGATTATATAAAAAATCTAATGAATCTCTCGATTAGATTCATCATCATTTCATGTTTATTACAGTAAAGAACAACGTGACCCCTGCCATACATCGAATATCAGATGACTACAGTATATAAATAATAACGAAATTTCTGGGATGGGAAATCAATAAATGATGATCAAATCCTTCTTGAAAGAGTGGTGATTTAGTGGCCAAGGTATTCAAACTTCAGCCACAGAGTCATAAATTCCAGTCCTGATCGGTTTGACTCAGTTTCAGGTCAATTGAATAGTATCATCAGAATGTGCCTAATAACCAAATACCTATTGAGTGAACTACTTAAAATCAAATCAATCGATAAAGCACAACTCATAATGATCAACATTATAGATACAGAACGTATATATTGATTATTACAACTTACTTCATCTTGACGAATAATTGGGATTTGTGGTGATTCTGAGACGTAAGGTGATCTATCATATGAAGAATTGTAATGAAAAGCATTCCTATTCTGAAATTAAGATCATTAATTTTCGTTAAAAAACAGTATAAATTATTTATTTATTTATTGAAACACATAAATGTTAGTACAAGGAAGCACCGGATAAATATGCGCCTCACAAATCTCATTCAATTTGTGTGAGGGCTGTGATACTGTCCAGGTGCCCAGACTGAAGCAGGTGGTTTTCTTAGGGGGCCACACCCGGAGCCTTTGACCTGAAGGTCTAGTCCACAAGGCAGTGGAGCATCGTGAGGAGATACAGTCCCATGGTAGCCGGTGATCAATGATTGATTCGTACGCCATTTGATCCTTCAGGATACGGAAGCCCATGTGCACCATCGGTTTGGAATCAGGGTTTTCCAACTCCCCTAGGTGAACTCGCCTTGTCCACCAACCCGGTTAAAGCGCTGGACATTCGCTTTTCGTCCTCTCAATTTCGTAAACAACAGTAATGCCACGAGAAGGCATGAGTAGGACTTCCCTGGCAGAGGCTATATATTCGCTGGCCATATGAGAGCATTTCGAGAGGGAGAGCGGACTCTCCCCACTCTCGGCCGTACCAGGGCATTTGGGGGCTAAGTATAAATTAAAGAAACTATGATCAAGTGTAATTAGTATTGAAGGTTGGAGAAAAAAAACTGGCAACTTCTTGTTACACTCTTATCAAATACAAATAATTGGAATTATCGAAGTTAATTACTTAGTCAAATGAACATCTTAACATGCCTTCCTCATATGATAATTCCAATTAGATCAAACTGTTTAATTTGTAAAAAATTGTGCAGTATAAATAACTTAAAAGTAGTATAGTGAATTGAGATGATGGTAAATAATTCTATTTTCACCCTCATCTATTCTAGCATAGATAATCGATAGATTTCCAGTTAGTTAAACGTAAAGTAGAGCCTGGTACGTGTATAGATCAGTTCAAGTTGCCATAACCCCCCCAATTTGCATAGTGAGATAAGATTGTTAGGGAAAATTGGTAGAAATTTAGTAATTCAGGATCAACAAAAAGACAAAGAGTGAATGCATTTGGTGCTATGATGAACAATTTTAAGCTATTTCATTCAAATTCCTTAAAAATTGGTTACTATAATCATGTAAACCCTTAAGAAAACTATTACGTAACAAGGTGTAAAACTAATATTAAAAGGTTTCGCACAAATAGACTTCGAATTTCGGCTATAAATGATTCAAATAAAATAATACTTTAAAAAATCTATAATGTGCCGAAAAATTGAAATTAGAATGTTAAATTGAAGTTCACACACACACACACACACAATATGTATGCATAAAATGTGTATGCACATTATGTGATTAATGTTTCATGGAGAGTAAATACACATAAACACTCTTTGACAGAAAAAAAATAAACCTACAGTGTATTGTATTACATAATTTAACAGTTAGAAAAATTCGAGTGAAGTAATTATTATAGAAAATAGTGTCTTTTACAATCGGATCCCTTTGAATTTGAAAATATCAATTAATTCTTAAGACTACTTACATTTCAATAATACGCTTACGATCCCTAAAATGAAATTACGTACAAATGTTAAAGTCTTATTACATTACTTTATAAATAACGTTTACAATTCTTCATCAATAGAGATTAACAATGACATCGACCCGAACATATAGAAATAATAACATATGAATGAGAATAACTTTTGAAAATACAAAGCGAAAGTTTTTATTAGAATAGATGGAATGTGGCTAGCGATTGAATCCTGGACGCGCATCCCATATTATTTAAGACTCATCAGCTGAATATACTTGGAACTCAGGCTTGATGTTCACTCCGGGATTCGAACCATATGTCATTCTCTTCAGACGATATCGCATTATCCACATAGCCACTCAGTTCAGTAGGTTATTCAGTTGTGCAACGGGTATGAGTCCTAGTTTAAACTAAAGTGGCTTGGATTATCCCGTTGATATTTTGATCAGAATTTGACGCGAACCATACTGAGTTCGATTAGTAGAGTGAACAATGAATCTGGAATGAAGTACCATCCAGCTGTTAAGTCCCAAATATGATGAAAAATGCGTCCTGGATTCCACTAATAGCCACAGTCCATCTATTCTATATTCACTTATATTGTAAAGGCTACATCGAAGTAGTCCAAATAGGATACGAATATACCAAACAATATCAAATTGAAACAAAGAGGAATGTTGTATGCACATAATTCTAATTAAGTCACCTTATAAAACCCAGATAACTATTGATTTATTGGGTCTGATGTTGATCGAAATGAAAGAAACTGCTGAACATATTACCTTTGTATATGAAGTTACAAATTTTTAGATCTGAATACCTGTTACTTTTGTATTGGAAAAGATTTGAACCGGAGAAACTTTGGTATATATAATACTCACAAGATAAATCACCGAAAGCGATTGATTTATGATAGGAGTATGTGTTGTTTGAACTGAATGAAAAAGTACCAAGCTGTTTACAGTCTTGATCATACCTTTGCTTGGTCACGATAAAAGGTGTTAATGGTCAATATTGGTCAATATAACTTGTTTCATGAGAAGAGTTGAATTGTTAAATAAGAGTTTTTCAGAAAATTTATAGTTTCATCATTTTTTTAACTGAATAAAGCATTCAATAACTTTTAAGAAATTACCATGTGAATAGCTTCGAGAGGCAATCCTTAGTATCCTAGTGAAAAGCTATGACCAGTAAAGAGAAACCGTGTCGGGTGTAAGACAGTTACCTACCGAAAACAATGGAGGGTGATCTCTTAATATTGTAGATTGATTGAGGTTAAGTATTACACTGTTGAGCGAGCGTTCGTACGTGAAACTGAATGTCTTGGGTTCGACTCATGCTTGTGCAGAGTCATGAGTACGTACAGCTGAGGAGTCCCGTGCTAGGATCAAATGGACGTCCAGTTCTTCCAAGATTTCAATGGTGACCTTATTTAGATCAGTTCATGGTTTCAATGAAATTCAACAATTTCCGCAACCCCATACTGAAAATTTAAATAGTTTTAGACATAGACGAAAGTCTGGACATTCATGATAAAATTAATTTGACTATTACTTATCAATCGGTGACAATATTCTGTCCAATCATTTGGTTATAGTTAATTGGGTAAATATAAAAATGCCATAATAGACATGAGATAGTTGGTAAGTAGTTTCAACCCTATGAAAATCAAAAATATAAGCCATTAACAACCGTCCAGGATTTATTTTATAATAAAGATAGTATTTCCAAATCGGTAATGAGGTTTAGTGAACGTGGTAAATAATTCTTTCAACTACAAAGTGATTTAATCAGTCAGTCAGTTGTCAGCAACATAGGACCCAACAGATATGTGTATCAGTTTAAGATGACATATTACATCGGAAAAGTTAGATGAAATTATCATGACAAGTACCAGAGTAGTGGAAGTAAGAAACACTAGATATAGATAATATGGTTTCCAATAATTGGTCCTAGTAATCTGGGGGATCTTAACTAGGCAGCTTGAACCTACCAACAAGGCTCAGTTCAACAGCAAATGGCTTTTTAAACTGATATATCATTATCGTTTAGTCATTCATAAATTTCTTCTATTGACCATATTAGACAATATAAACCATTGAGGTTGGCAGTGAATGATCATAAGTAAAACATTTCCCAATCACTTCAATCGATAAAGGTTCACAACCTTATTAAATGATTTGCATCATTATCTAGTACTTTGCTCCTAACCTCAACATTAGTCACTCAATGATCCAAATATATTCAAACAATGCTTCGAAGATACTTAAGCATTTTCTTACAGGTCATAATTACTCCATGAAGTACATTTCAATTAAGCAACATTTATCAGAAGAACTCAGTACACAAAGACACTAATATATACTCACATCTCTTACATTATAATTAGGTCGACAAAATAAAGTTTACATTGATTTATAGAACAATTAAAAACACGTGAACTTTTTTTTATCTTTTTCGGTCAATTCCACGTGATTCAATACACTAAGTATATGCATACATTGTGTGATCAGAGATCATCTTATATTGCAAAGTATAAGTTAAACAAATTAAAAATCAATGCAAATAATACTTTTAAAAGACTAAATTACATATCGATCAGAAGTGTTGAAAAGGTTGTAACTTTAACGATCTGATCATTCACGTAAGTAAACTTATGAGTGTTTGAGTTATAATGACTAGGTGCCTGAAACATAATTATAGAAGTTTGTCTGATATGTTCTCTTAAAAAGACTTAATGCTGGAGATAAGAGAAAGGTGCATCATGGGCCAATAAGAGTTAAGGTTATCTTATCATTGCCCAAGGTCAACTGAAGCTTATCATTGCTCAAATAAATCGAAGTCAGTAAGTAGACGAGAAGGTATACTCAAAACAGGGAATTCTGAATCCAGGTACTGACTGATGGGTCTTTTCTAGTGATATTCATAAAATCTTAAGCCATAATAGCATTGATTTTGTATGGCTAGAAGCAATTTACAGGAATCTCACTAGAAATCGCATCCAAAATCCATCTGTAATATTGAAACAACTAAGACTTGATGTAAAATTTGAAGTAGTGGTATATTCAGAAGCGTTAATAATAAGCTCAATTAAGAAGTGATCAATTATGAATTGAATAGTACACTACTAACATTTCTTTAAGGCGAAAGGGATTCGAATCCCATAAGCAGCACCAGATCCCTTAAGACTGAGGATACGATTCGCTGTCGATTGTCAAATAAAAAGATTGCCTCCAACTACACCTAAGTTAACAATAACAAACTGACAACTAAGTTTAAAAAAAAACGTAAAAGGTGAGAACTTCGTATCATTAACTTCAAATTTCTACATGTGACAGGAGGAAAAAAAGTTGAATATAGGTATTAAAATAAAACAAGAAAGAAGATATATGGAGATGAGGGGATTATTAGGTAAAACAAATTATAAGCTAATATTTAAAATTCTTTTTAATTAAATCTCTTTTAAATTTTACAATTATATTATTCAAATTAATAATCCCAAAATGTGCCCATGTGTTTAAGGCAAATGACATCGTTTAAAATTGTTTGTTGAAATGACTAATATATAGTGTTAAATTGAATAAGTTTAAACCTTAAATGAAATTGTAAAATTAATGATCAGAATACATATAAAGGTCTCCCGCTTACGGAAATTGGAGTGAGCCTTGTAAAGCACCGGATTATGGCTTAGTGACCTAGAGGTAAAGCGTCAGAGCGTGAGACCGAAGGACAGTACATGCAATGATACAAATGTAGAACTTTAATCGCGTCATAATATTGTCCAATTATCTTTGATTACCTGAGGTGTATAACCAACTCAAAATCGATAAGGCTGAACTACACTAGTCAAAACTTTTCACTAGAACTCCGAGGGGATTACCTGTCCAAGTTAGTTACTAGTAAGCACGTGATTATTGTTATTACTAGTATAGAAAGTCCAATTCTAAGAAGAAACAATTGTCTAAATGCTTCCTGGTCTTCAACAAATGTTTCACTAACGTCAGTGGTTTTTAATATAACTTCCATTAACCCCTTACACGTATATGAATTTATTCATTATCACATGTAAATTGTTTCATGTTCAAATTAACAGCACAACGTAGTAAAAAATAGCGAGGCAACAAAAAAAGGTTTCTTACATTTAACATATCGATAGGTAAGGGAATAGGTGGATTATGTTTACTAATAACAGAAGATACATTTGATGGATTGTCAGTGGAATCACGGATATGTCCATTCGAAGAAGAATCCAATTCTTTAGCACCTACTGGCCAAGCATCTTCGCCAACTTTCCGCCAACCGCGTAAAAGGCTACTCAGATGGAAAAAAACCAGAAAAAGCATATCACCGGTATCAGTAAAATTCATATCGTAAGATACAGAAAATAATATTGCGTTACGTTGTATACATGATAAGCCAAACCGAAATTTCTTTCAATTACTTGATAAATGAAGTAGTGATCGAAGTCATGTTTGTTTAATTCTTAATTTCGAACGGATTTTATAGATTACGTTGTAATGTAGTCACTATTTCAAGCGAATCGATAACATGTGCACTGTGTCCTATTTTTAAGGTAGGAAGTCTACAAGAAATCATGTTTGGCCAAGGTTTCGTGTTAGATGCGACACGTTAGTACTATTGTAAAGTTACTACACAATAGGTAACTTAATGTATAAATGCAAGCAAAACACAAACGTTAATAAAATTTCAAATCATGGTCTAGTCTTTAACTTAAAATGGTTGGGAGTGGATGGCAGGAAGCTCTGAATCAATGTTACGTGTTGGTTGACAATTATTATCAAGGAGTACTTGCAATCTTGAGAGAACTGGTACCCCCTTGATGGTTTGAATTGGAACCATACAGGTTGATTCCGTATTTATTTATTTATTTAAACACATAAATATTGGTACAAGGAAGCACCAGATAAATATGCGCCTCACAAATCTCATTTGATTTGTGTGAAGGCTGTGATACTGCCTAGGTACCCAAACTAAAACAGGTGGTTTTATTAGGGGGCCACACCTCAAGCCTTTGACCCGAAGGTCTAGTCCACAAGGCAGTGGAGCATCGTAAGGAGATGCAGTCCCATGGTGGCGAGTAACCAACGATTGATTCATACACCATTCGTTCCTTCAGGATACTGGAGCCAGCCCGTATGCACCATTGGTTTGGAATCAGGGTTTTCCGACCCCCCCCCCAGGTGAACTATCCGTGTCCACCAACCCGGTTAAAGCGCCAGACATTTGCTTTTTGTCCTCTCAATTTCGTTGATGCTGAGCTCTTAACAAATTTACTTCTCACCACCCACTGTAATTTTTGAAGGAAATATATATCAAAAGTATCACTATGGAACCGTTAATCACAATTTCTCATATTTTTCGATACAAATCACATGTTACTTCTCAACCTACGCAATAAACCTACTCAAATTAAGATAAATAGTTAATTTCTAAATAAAACCATTAAATTAACAAATTATTTTTTATAAGTAAAAAAACACAAAATAAACTCGCGTATTATACATGACAATCAGGTTGAACAAAATCTTAGAAAGAGACGGAATTCGGAGAAGATGAATTTAAAAACTGTTTATAGGTGTAGTGAACAGAACACTAGTTGGGGACAATCGAATGTATTTAAGCAAAGATTACAGACTATCTCAGTAAATTCTGATAACCAAACAATGAACAGTCAATTTGCAAATTAACAACCAATTGTTTCAATCTTCACTGTTTCTTCTCTTATTCTATTGCTCATGCATTTTCCAAACGATTGCGCTTCATTTCAGTTCTTTCCTCATCGGTCTTCTGCCAAAATACATTCTATGTCTGACCCACACCATATACTACTTATGTGGTTATAAGTAGACCACACCACATAGGTAGTGTGGTGTCGGCTACTTATATCGATATAAGTGGCATATATCATGAGTCAGGAATAGAATATCCGGCAGCAGAAGATTGAGATCGAGAAGGGAAGAACAGAAACAGAAAGCAATTGGTATGAAAATCCAAGTACAATGAAACCTGAGACAATTAGTGAACACTTTGCAAATGAAGTATCAGAGTATGGTTTTTTTATTTTATCAAGCAACTTTGTAATTTGTGCTAAATACATAATCGGTTGTTCACACTTGTGTTATTCTTCGCTACAGCAGTACGTGCTTCAGGGACAAAGCAATTAAACTCAATCGATAGGGAAGTCTAGAGAGGGCTATCATAGAGATTTCTCATACAGTGATACTGATAGTCAAGGTTCAAACCATACACTACAAATTATCAGTTCTCTCAAGATTGCACGTATACCATACTAATGAATGTGAACTAGCATGAAACACAGATCAATCAGCGTTGCCTGCAGACTATCTCTAACCACTTAACATTTAGATATTGTGCATCCAATGTCGAAAAATTTGGGAATATTGACCACATTGTAATATGATCAATTGAATTCAATCGGCGAAAAAAGGCTAAGCAAACATAATATTGATCAAAACTTTGTTCATTAGGAACAATTACTAAAAAATTGATTGTGTAATGAAGGTAAGATAGAATTGCTCTAATAACAATAATATCAAATTGTTTTAAGAGTTTTATGAAGAAAATAAATACTGATTTAGATTATGAATCGATCATTGTTATAGCACCATCAAAAACCTGGAAGCTTTGGATGGCCGTTTCGTCCTAGTATGGGACTCTTCGGTAGTGCTCATCCACGCTCCTGCAGGCGGGATTCAAGGTTTCCAATGGTTGTCCAACATTATTCGATTCATAATCTCAGTTAAAACTCAACAATCTTCACAACTCTATACTGATGAAACTAAAGAGTTGATGTTTATCATTGGTGTTATAATCATTCAGACACAGTAAACAGCTTTAAAAATAATGACAGACGTATTATGTTTTAAAAAAAGAATCTATAGAAGTAGACTAAACTTAATTATGATAAATAGTTGATATTTTTCTCTGATTAGATTGAATCTGTTGATTTGCGACTTTTTATTGAGAAAGAAATTATAAAATATAATTTTTCTTGCTTAATTCTCCTTGCACTTTATCTTATATTGTGTTTACTGCTATCATCAATTGCTCATTGATTTATGTATATTTTAGAACATCATTTGGTTACCAGAGATGGATAGTGGCTAGCAGCGGAATCCAGGACGCGCGTTTCGCCCTATTTGGGACTCGAACCCAGTACCTTACGCTTCAAACGCCAACGCGTTATCCACTCGGCCACTGAGTCCTGATAGCCACTTACTTTTTTGGTTACTTTATTTTTAAAGTCATCAGGTATACTATTTACACATAATTGATGTGATTAGTTGGTTCATTTAACAGGTAAAAATTCATAGAATTGGCTTACAATCACACAATAATATATGACAGCTAATGATTATTATTTATTTAATCACATATATATTGGTACAAAGGGCACCGGATAAATATGCGCCACACAAAATAATGAGAATGGGAGAAGGAAGAAGATGCGTATATATAAAAGAAGCAAAAAAGAAAAGTAGAAGAGTAATGAAGGGGGGAACTGAATGTACAACCACAAGAACTCTCTCAGTTAAGAAAATTAGAACCACTCTTTATGTAGAAAGTAAATTAAGGTTGCAGCAGGATCGCCACTGGCTTCTATTCTGAGCCATATCTGATAACATCTCTAGTCACTGTGTTGCACCATCTCTCGGACCCCAGCCAGGGAGTCGTGAAGGACCTACAAAAGCTAGCCCTTTGTAGCTCTCTTTCATGCCACGACACCATGTCATACACTGACCTCCTCTCCGCTTTCTCCAACCAGTCCCAGAGTCGGCAAATAATGCACGACGTCGAAGTCTCTGGGACGACATTCGTAAAACATGTCCAAGCCACCGAAGTCGGTGTTTCAAGATGGTGACACCAATTAAATTATCATCTCTGCGCCCAACACACGATGCCGAACCTCTGCATTACTAACATGGTGTTGCCACTGAATGTCAGCAATCCTTCGGAGACAACGATGATCGAACACAGAGAGTCGTCTAACATCCTCAACTCGGAGAGGCCAGGTTTCACAAGCATAGAACAAAACTGCTCTCACCGACGCGTTGTAGATCCGACCTTTTATAGCCAGACTAACATCACGAAGGCGCCAAAGATGGCCCAGATTGGCATAAGCCGCTCTGGCTTTCATTATACGTGCATCAATCTCATCACTCACGCCCCCCCCCAGCACTTATATAGCTACCTAGATACACGAACTTCTCAACTACTTCAATCTGCTCACCATCCAGGGTGAGTACAGGATTAGAATCCTGCCAGTCTTGTAGGAGTACTTTGCACTTGGAGGGTGCAAAGCACATGTCGTACCTGCGGACACTGATTGCCAACTGATTAAGTGTGGATTGCATGCTTTGGGCATTATCGCACAGTAAGACAATATCATCCACATACTCGAGGTCGTGAAGTCGTTCTCCAGGCAGCATATCCACACCACCATTACTTACATCCATAAGAGCTGTTTCCAGGATGTTGTCGATGGCAAAGTTGAAGAGGAATGGTGAGATCGGGCAACCCTGTCTAACCCCACTGCTCGAATGAAACAAGGGAGAAGGGTGGTTGTATGCCCTCACTCTGCCTGAGGTGTTCGTATACAGGGCCTTTAAGATGTTAATGAACTTCTCAGGCACACCCTTCTTCAATAAACAATCCCAGAGAACAGTCCTGTCCAACGAATCGAAGGCAGCCCTGATATCAAGAAACACTACGATTGTTGGCCTGCGATAAGTATGACGGTGTTCTAACAGCTAATGATACTATGATACTATCGAAGTGGGTGGAGTGGGATTCAAATATGCGAATGAAAGTCTAAAGTCATAGCGATTATGCTACCTATCCATAATAGAAGTACTTTTATAATGTCACTTAAAAATGAACAATGAAAAATTCATTGGTGAAACACACAGCATCAACTTTCAAAAGGTACCCAGAAATAATCAATAAGTCATAATAATAAGAAGAATAAGGCAGTTTTACGATTATTATTGTTACGTTAGTTAAAAAATCAAAAGACGTTAAACAAATTCAAACATGTGACCATAAGCTTTTAAAACTTCACTGAGTCATAATTGTCCTTTAATTACTCTCTTAAAGACATACACCATAACTACTAATTATAGGTATTTTAAAAGAATATGAGTGGGGAATTTAGATAAAAGTGTGCACAGACTTTCTCTATAAAAAATAAGTTAGCTTGCATAAGAAGATAATTTTTCTCTTGTCAGTAAAGGGTTGTGAAGATTGCTGAATTTCATTAAAATAATTGACTGATTTAAATTACACAACAATTGAAAACTTGGAAGCCACCAACACCCGTTTCGTCCTGGTATTCTACTCCAAAGTAGTGAGGATTCATGACCCTGAAACCGAAAATCGGACCCGTGGCATTCGATCCTGCTTAACTTGACTGAAGTTACACTTGTACATCATTGGATCCCGGAGTCTGATACTACGATGAAACGGCTATCCGGCATTCCCAGGTTTTGAATGGTTGACTAAATTAGATCAATTCGAGCTATTCAAAAGGAATCTCAAATTATATATATATATATATATATATATATATATATTAACACTTGTTATAAAGAACAATACTTAAATCGTTAAGTTTAAACATTAGATCCTTCAAAATATTCAAAAAAAAAGTAACGCGAACAATTATTTATACACGCTGGTGGACTTTGAAATGTTTAGGTGATTGTTTCAATAAATGACGCTATCAATATTTAAATCATATTTAACATGTAACAAGTATTACTCGGATCCTGTATGCGCGTTTCAGAGACGCAGCACACATTGATGATGCAAGATTCTAAAGTCCTAGCTAAGGAGGACTGTTGTTCTATTTGGCACAACGTTCGGACGTTAAGCGTTCCTACATGTAGTTTAGAGCATGGTTTCAGGAGACCAGGAATAACGTTCAGTGCACTCGAATCGTTTGCCCTAGCGGTGCGAGGAGATAAAAGGACGTGAGAAGGGTGACTTGTGGAGATAAGAGAGTTATTAGGTGTAGGAGGTATTTGAATGTGACCAACTTGGTCTCGTGTGTTGTTACGGGTATGAGGGCTAATATCACTTCCCGGCTGCCCACACCGACTGCCCGGATGAGTGATGATTTATGGCGTAAGAGTAGGTTGGAAGAAGGCTAGGGGTGGCCAGACCAAAACATGGCACAAATCCATGAAGTCACTGACAAGTGGACTGAGCCATGTTGGTAGGTGTTCTGCCAAATTCTAATCTTCTGAATTCTTTATATCTCTATCTTTTTTTCTCTTTTCAAATTTATTTCACTGGATTATACTCCTTGAATAACATCTTCAAACCCTTATCTTTCCGATTACTGTTTATACTCTTACTACTTCTAACACTATCGACAACTGGATCTCTGTGCTAATGTGGTATGGCAACTCGAACTGATGTACGTACGTACGAAGTTCTACGTTGTGACTGACTGACTGTAATAATTATTATGTGATTAGCAATTAACGAAGAATGTTGAGCTTCTAGTCCATCAAATAGATAACTATTTGGAACACTACTACTGCTACTAGAAATAGTAGTAGTATGATAGCTGCAATATAGTGATATATGGTTTAGGACAGAAAATTGGATGGAAAGATGAAAAATATGTCAAGCTAGACTGCTGAAGTACTCGTGGTTCGAATTGTCATCATCGTCATTACTATTATTATAATAATTATTATTATTGATCCCTGTTATGTAACTACACTAATTCATTAAATTAGATATCACCTAATCCCTTCAATAATCGATTTCTCTCATTTAACAAAACTCACTTATAGTTTCTTACGTGACAGAATGGAAAAAATAAGCGTGGAGTGCCTAATTAAATGACAATAATTAGAGATAAACAATGAAATCATTTCGTTTAGAGGAAACATCACTACCAAGGTTAATATTATACAAAAATAAAAAATGAAGTCAACAACAATAACACATTATTCTGATCAATTCACTAACCTGGGCATTTGTGGACCCCAAAGTGTGTACACATAATTGTAGAACATATTTTTATGTGAATAAGGATTTTTATGACCAGCTTGTTTTACAATACGCGGGAAATGACGTATCTAATCGATAAATAGAATAAAAAGAAATATATGTGATAATAAACTTATACAGGAAATAAACTATAAATACACTTAGTATTGGTTGTTTGAATCTTCCCATTGATGTTTAGGACTGCAGCTGGTCAGTCTCTAATTGGCATGTGTGCATACTGCGCGTATTGCCTCAATATAGCCTTAATTCACAAGCATGGTAAGCAAAGATGGATAGTGGCTAGTAGTAGAATCCAGTTTGACGCGCGTTTCGTCTTATTTAGGACTCGTCAACTGGATGTACCTGCATCTCAGAGTTGATGTTCACTCCACAATTCGAACCCAGTACCTTTCGCTTCAAACGCCATCGCGTTATCCACTCGGCCACTGAGTCCTGATAGCCACTTGCTTGTGCAATGCGGTGAAGTTTAATTTCATTTAGTATTGTTTGTTTGAATCTTCCCATTGATGTTTTTGGACTGCAACTATAAATAGTTTCAAGAAAAATCAGAAATATTCAAAAGGGGGGAAAAGATCGAAGATTCAATGAATGTATGCTTTATAGATGACTTTCAATGATACAGGAAATGACTTTGAACAAGTAAAACAAATTTCTAACTGATCGAAATGTAAGTTCTCTAAATGATATAATTTATCACAACAACAAAAAACCTACACAGATACGTTAGGATTTAAAGGTCAAGAAGTTAGTGTTGATATACTGACGATTTAATTTGATCAATCTTCGTTGACAAAAGGACAAACTGAATAGATGTTTAGAAGTTGGTTAAATTTGAAACTACTCTTTCTATTACTCAACCTTATTGTCTCATCATCCGAAAAATAACCCCATTCTTGCTTATACGCCAATACTCGGTAAATGATTGCATGGCATCTATTACTTAAATCCACACTGCTATCGTAAACTACATTTCTCACATTTACACAAAATGTTCGAGAAGCATGTATTCAGGCATTTATATGTGCGGTGTTTTCGGCATAATGGTTTTATTGAGGGAGAAATCTTCATAAACACCGTTTGAGAATACTTTAATAAATATATATACGACTATGTTACGTGATTGCAGGTCGAACCTAGTACCGTTCGCTTCAAACGCAATCGCGTTATCCACTCGGTCACTGAGTCCTTCCCACATCATGAAACCTCGCCGAGATACGAACTCGGGTTGCCGCATTCAAAGTCTAAAATGCTCAAAGCTACATCACGAGCCCTTAAAAGCCGGCGACACTCGGTTTTTACCAGCCGGTCACCCATGCAAATACTGACCGTGCCCAACGTTGCTTAACTGCGGTGGTCGGACGAGAACCGGTGCTTTCAACGTGGTATGGTCACCGTAAAGTACTGTATACAAGAGACCGACTTTTGTCTTTATAATGATTTTAGACTAACAAGAAAGATTTTGAAAGTTCCAACTAAAACGACTCCATTTAACCATAAACTTATAGTGAATTCTTAGTCCAATTGAGTTAAGCATACCTCTTATTATACAGAAAGATAAAGTTTGATATTCTTTTATCAGTAAGATTATTTGATGATTGTTTAAACTTGCGTTCATTTTTTTACTTTCAAAGCGCCAAATCTATTCCGACACACACACACACATTACAAGTCCTCAACTTTAAAGCCTGTTATTTACCAACTTTGATACTAAGTAGTTTACATCAACATCTAAGTACAAGTAAATCAGTTGATTTATACTAGATCGTTCATAAGATAACGGACATAAGTCAAAAGCTTAGTACAGCTCCAACTCAACATATGGTTACAGTTCCTTCCATAGTTGATCACATCAATATCCATTAATGGTTATCCTTTAAAGTCTACTAATCAAATTCAATTTTAAATCTAATGCTTTTTTAGAATTTAACAGAAATTTATGCTTAAAAGTCTACTAAACATAATCTCTGATTACGAAATCTGTATATTTAAGATCAATGAAGTGGTTATCATTATTATTACAAATATATATATAACTATGTAAACCTGATAATGATTTGACTGTAACCTAATTTTCCTTCGATAAAACCGGAATGTTGAATATTTTTGTATGGACTTTCCATATTGCTTTTTTTGCAAATAAACAGTCAATATGTTTAAAGTGAGAAGAGTGTAAGAATATCAACTAAATTTCTTATTTCACTGCTATCATCATATTGATTAGTCAATTAGCACATCATCTTTTCATGGTTAAAATCATGAGTCAATTGAAGCTAAACCACCATGGAAAACTTGGAAGCACTGGACGGCCGTTTCGTCCTATTATGGAACATCATCTTTTCTTTTATTTAACATTTCAATTCATAAACTGCGAATGAAGCATAAGGTCCACATAATAATAATTAATATTATTCTTTGACATTCAATTGATAAGTGAAACATTGATCTTTGATAAGAGTTTAAAACATGATGTCACCTTCTTCATGGATTAAAACAAACATAATGCATGCAAACTTTACATAGATTGTGAATAGAAGAATGAATACATTAATGATGGTGTTCATTGATAAAAATGCTTTTAACAACATTTGCAGACAATGAAAACTCATTCATTAGTTGGTGTAATATGAAATAACGACTCATTGATTATTATAGCCATAAGAATAAAAAATGTATTTATAACCCAATGTGCTAAGGTTAGACATATAACACTACTAAATAAAGATGGTGAATAGATTGATGAGGGAACGTTCATGTTCAGTGACTGAGATAGGTGTAATATGTATTAAATCAGGAAGACGCATAATGTTTGTTGGTGTGTAGGAGTAAGTTGAAAGATATGAATGATCAGTCCATGAAGTTACTGTCAGTAGAACGGAGTAATATTAGTAGATACAGATTATCAGATAGAGGACCGCACGATAACTGTAACAAAAGGCCGGCAGATATTGGATGACATGGCTCAGAATCGAATTCAGTGGTGTAGGTGCATTTATTCTTTGTCTGAAATAGGATTTTCAGTTTTAAAATTATCATGTACTTTTTTTACCTCATAAATTCATTCTCTCTCGATGAATCATATTTCCTACTCCGAATGGCTTCTACTAGTACTACTACTGTAAAGCATGACAATAGGCAGGGAACATTGTAAACATAATAATTATTATTGTTATAAAGCAAATCAACTAATACTTAGTTTATATAAGAACTCTCGTCTAAATTAGAGCGAATATTTTCACAGTATTTGAGCACCGAGTTGATGTAAGACATTAAATAGGAATAATATATATTTGTAATATCTCAGCGAATGAATTTGTGGTAAATCCAACGTTTCGCCTGGCAATCTGGTCCAAGCTTTTTCAATGAATTATAATCAAACATTAAAATTATCGAATATAAATAGGTACATGGTTTTCCGGGTTCACTGTACACTGAATAGGTCATCCAATCAACGTTAACAAAGTCTAAACTAGGTATATGTATTAGTGTGTAAGAGGTGTGTGATGTGAATTGATGAGTGTTCATATAACATATTGTATCGGTTCAGGGCTTCGGCTCGAAACTGGTAGGTCCTGGGTTCGAATCCCGCGAGAGTGGGTTCGTGGATGCGCACTGCTGAGGAGTCCCATAATAGGACGAAACGGCCGTCCAGTGCTTCCAGGTTTTCCATGGTGGTCTAGCTTCAATTGACTCATGATCTCAACTCTATATATTGTACACTTAGTTTATTTGAAATTAATTCCTAATTTCTTTACACACGCCCTTCTGTACACTCCCAATACCAACCTTCCACCTGCACACAGAGCACCTTTGGGCTAAATGCAAACTGCTACTGGCTTCGTATTAATACATCATTAAACCTATGTTGAAACAAATTAAAATTGAATGTTTGATTATTATTTATTGAGATAGTTTGTGGAAACTTGTCCAATCTGAAGATCATTTCTTCTATAAACTGTAGTATGGGTAAATTTACAAAATGGGAACTGGTATGTTTCTACATTCTACCTTCTGAGTTCGATTCTGTGTCTCAGTGAGTTGTTTTTTAATGAATTGAAATAAAGACAAAACAACTGTCCATAGAGATACTTTATCATATCATCAGTTGATAATGAAAACAAACTTAGAATTCAAGTTAGTAATCATTTGCATGTTAGTGTGACCAAACTTTTGTTGAGCGTGACAAGAACTGATTACCTAGATCAAAGTAATTGTTTGAATATATAGTGTAATGAACGAATGAAATTTGTAAAAATCAATTAGCTCTTAATCAAGACGTGAGACTAGTACATGAACTCATTAATCTGAGTTACGCTGGCAGGTTAATGCTATCCCGTCGTGATCCATACAAGTTTCAATTACACGTTAGATACGTAAGGTGAAGTGACTCAGAATTGGTCGTAATTGATCATATAAATCCATTTTCTGTCTACCATTAGATCCTGTGTTTTAACAATATTTCATAATCACTATTCTTCAATTCTTTCAACGGTTAATCTTCTTTAATATCACTGTCACTTTTACCATAACTTCGATATTCATGTTAACAGAATGTGAGAACTTGAGTTGACACACGTTTATGTCAAGTTCTAAGCTCTTTACACAACTTACTGACTGTATAACTGACACAGCCTGAACATCTTGTACAAAGAATCATAAATTCCAGTTGACTAAATGAAATAATTTTAATGTTTTGTATCAAGATCTTGTCAAGCAGTAAAAAACATTGAGTTTTTATTCACTCTATTCGTTTTCCAGTAATAGTTACCTCTTTCTCCCTCTCTTTAGTTAAATCGGTATAACATACAATCTAAAATTAAAAGACTAGACAGGTGATATAAATTGGAACTAAAGAATCGAGAACTGAACCATTACAATCATCATACATCCAATTCACAGTTAATTATTCCAGACCAACAATGTTACTATCTTTGACCACAAAAAAACAATTAAAAAAAGTGTAAAACATGGTAAGCAAAGATGGATAGTGGCTAGTAGTAGAATCCAGTTTGACGCGCGTTTCGTCTAATTTAGGACTCGTCAACTAAATGTACCTGCATCCCAGAGTTCATGTTCACTCCACAATTCGAACCCAGTACCTTTCGCTTCAAACGCCATCGCGTTATCCACTCGGCCACTGAGTCCTGATAGCCACTTGCTTGTGCAATGCGGTGAAGTTTAATTTCATTTAGTATTGTTTGTTTGAATCTTCCCATCGATTTGTTAGGACTGCAACTGGTCAGTTTCTAATTGGCATATGTGCATCCTGCGCGTATTGCCTCGATATAACCATCTTTGCTTACCATGCTTGTGAATTAAGGTTATATGGAGGCAATACGCACAATATACACATATGCCAATTAGAGACTGACCAGTTACAGTCCTAACACATCGATGGGAAGATTCAAACAAACAATATTAAATGAATTTAAAAGTATAAAACGTTTTAGTAATACAAAAATAAACTTACATCTTCATGAGTTGAAAATCCTCGACACATTAATGATGTATGATAACCTGATAAACCGAATACTGTCCACATTGCAGAGAAAGTGATCAATATATCAATTATTGTGTATGATGAAAAAAAAAGAAATGACAATGGCAAACCAATTATTTTTTTATACAGAAAGAAATTGAAAACATTCCATTCATTCATTTAATCCATTAGTAATCATGATGATGATGACGACGACGACGACGAACGATAAAGACAAGATGATTTAATTAAGGTATTTTATAGCTAATCAATAAAGATTTATTGAATATTGATAAATAAATATTTGAAAAATATTGACTATTTATCTGAAGCCAATTTTTATTACCAAATCAACTGGGATTTAAAGAGAATCAATAAGGGATGAAAAACTATTTGATAGATATCCTGCTTTAATCTTATTTAGAAATGTTTAAAATAAGTTTAGGACATGTTTCAATGAGGCTGATTACTGGTTTAAATTTATAATTGATATGGGTAATTCGTAACTCATGTGTAAAGCATATACATGGACTCATTGTTTGTTGTATTTTGAATACTGAAACATTTAGGAAACTGACAACTACATCCTTGATTAACTGAGTTTTTTGTATGTTCTTATTTCCTAAGTAGTTTGCATCAATTTCTTAATCTTGTTTGAGGTCACACTCAAACCGTGAAGAGATACCTTTTATTGGATTTTTCTGAAAAATAAACTAGATTACAAATGGTCTTGAAAGCCTGGTAGCATGGCTGTAGAGCTCTACGAACAGCTAGTTAAGGCCAATCATATAAATCATTTCTGTAAGTAGCTCGTAACGTATCAGTTCTACACCGTAGACGCCTAATCGGCAGTGACAGAAATCTATGGGACAGTTTTTAGGGTCATTCTTTTCTAACCCTTACCTCCTGCAGTGAGAAGGTAGCATTGTAGCAGACGTTGGTTGTCGGAAAGAAACAGCATACACCCACACCCATACACATTTAGGAGCACGACTTTTCCCACACACCTTAAGTTACCACTTTCAGTCTTAAAGTTCTTCAACCAACTCGTCTTGCATGGTAGGACCTAAAGGAACAAATGTTACAGCTCGACTGGGTCATCATAATATATGAACACGATCACCACGTCAAGGTCGTACATTAATTTACTGATTATTCTGATATGAATTCTACATATTTTGGTAACTAAACCAGAACATTGCGTCAGTCCATGAATTCACTGACAATTGAACTCAGCCATGGTAGCAGGTACAGATTACTTGGTCGGGGTCCGTGTGATTATCGCAACCAATGGTTAGAGACTTTGAGTGACATAGCTCAAAATCGTTTGCAATGGCTCATGAGCATTAATTCTTTATGTTCCCCCAAATTCTGAGATCCTAAATTCCTCACAACCTTCTTCGTGTTTTCATTTCACTAATTTTTTTTTCGAATTGTATCTTCGATACATAATCTTTCTTATTATCACCGACACTGTTAGTACCTCTACTATTTTGAGATTAGGCTCGATAACACATCTCTGTGCTAATGAGGTATGGCAACTTGGACCGGTGTACATAGGTACCAGGTTCTATGTTGTGACTGTTTAACTTATATTTTGGTTATTTCAAACGGTAAATAGTTAGGGCGATGTATTGCCATCCTATATCCTGATGTATACTTCATTTATTAGGGACAGGTTTACGTACTTTGACCTACATTTTTTACGTGTGTGTGAAGGGTATTGTTCAAGGTCCACTGCCTAAATAAAATAGCTCAAACGGGGCTTGAACCTATGACTTATCAGTTGAGTACTTAATCCAATAATTTATCATTCTAATTCCCTTAAAAGGACTAATTATTGATTTTAATGAGTTGTTTGTAAACATATTATTTATTCAGAAATGACAACCGTTTAGCACTCATATTTAAATCATTTCAATAAAATAAACAGTCTCAAAATCCAACGGTAGGCTATAAATTTAGAAACTGGTAACAACATGGCGTTTAGAGAAAGATAATTACATTGGAAAACTACCTAAATAGCATGTAACTTAATCGAACTTTGCTATGCTCAATTGACGAAATTTGAATTGCCGTTCGATGGATGTCAAAGTTTTGAATTTGATTTTATTTAAAATTAAAGCTTATAAACTACTACTGAAGAGTTTAATATTATGATAATATGGCTATTTAAAGCTATCAGTATCTGTAACTATTGCTCAAAGTATGAGAGTATGTGATGAAAACTCCTTCAAAACCAATGATTTCAATCACTAATAATCTGAACTAATTGGCATAATGGATAAGCCGTTGAAGTTTGATGTGTTTGGGTAATGGATTTGAATCACAATATAAGTATCAACACTAAAATGGAGTTACACTCAACTAACAAGTTCGAAACAAGATGAAATATACAATCTGGATTTCATTACTGGTGAAATATACAACTTAAACAATATCTTATGACTAAATGGCTATATTAAGATAGTTTATTCAGTGTCCACACATGTCAATCATGACATCTATCTAATCAATAACCGTTTACAAGAACAATGAAATATGTTCCAAGAACATACACTGATTTTAAATAACACTTTTTTCTTAATATATTACTTTGAAAAATTTTTATAACCAGTTAGTCAATCATATACAAACCTAAACAACTAAAAAACGATTAGTTCACGAAGAAAATAATCATAATAATAACAACACTTTATTATGAAACATCACATGAAAAGGATATGAAGCGGGAGAAATCTTGATAGCCATTATAATATCTTCATACTTTTCGTATACTATTCATAATAACAATAATAATAATCGTCCGTATATTGATGACAATCATCATCGTTATCGTCATTATCATTAATCACCACCATCATCGCCAATAATGATCATCATCATTATCAGAATTACGTAAATAATCCAGTAGATAAAATGAGGAAATTTATTTTGATAAAGAAAATAATAATCATAACATTAAACTAAATAATAAACAAATAAATTAATAAATAAAATCCAATAATTGATAGTTAAACGATAATAATAATTTCGATAGTGTAAGATGAAGATTATTAGAACTATGTGCGCAATAGAGGATAAACATCCATCATCCTCTGTTGCTAAACATATAATCGAAACAGGCTATAAGATTGATTTTAACTCGGCATTTGTGATGTTGTATAAAAGTGTAAAAAAAAGCGTATACTAAGGTTTATTGAAGCCTTAGTCATATGAAAATTCAAACCCCCTTTGTGTATTTAAAAACAGTTTATTCTCACCTAAAACCTACCCTGGTAATATTAGCTTATTATACAGAGTGATTAGGTTTTAAATTGTTTTCACATTATTTTTATTATTGTTATCCTTGTCTACACCTAACCCCCATTTCCAGTCTAGTTGATCTTTTCTTGTGATATATAAATGTTCTTAACAAGTATATGTGTGATCAGATTGTTCGGAATGTATTGCGCTAATATCTCAGCATATAGTTCTGATAATCTTCATCTTCTTATTACATTATCAAAATTTATCAAAAGGACAAGATATTAATAATATTATTATAATGCCGGCTCAGTGGTCTATCGGTTAAGTGCACTGGCACGAGACTGGTAGGTCCTAGGTTCGAATCTCGCGAAGGCGGGATCGTGGATGCGCACTGCTGAGGAGATTGTTATGTGACAGGAGGAAAAGGATAAAATGAAGTATGGATGAAGAAAAAATGCACACACACATACATACATATATATATGTTTATATTGATTAATAAAGATCTTATTTTTATATAATTTTGAAGTTAAACATTAACACTGTTGAATGCCGGCCAGCTCAGTGGTCTATCGTTTAAGTGCTCGCGCGCAAGACTGGTAGGTCCTGGGTTCGAATCTCGCTCGCGAGGCGGGATCGTGGATGCGCACTGCCGAGGAGGAGTCCAACAATAGAACGAAACGGCCGTCCATTGCTTCCAGGTTTTCCATGGTGGTCTAGCTTTAGTTAACTCATGATTTCAACTATGAAAACACTGAAATCTCTACAAAATCCCGTCTGATAATATTTAATTGATTAAAACTAATAATTAGATCAAATATATTATTAGCGTATAATTCACTTATATATAACTTGTAGTTTACAATTGTTTATTCTCTGAATGAAATGATTTTTTCAATGTTTGACAATATTATATCAATAACAATCCGATTTAACGGTTAGTTGTCAACTGATCCAGTCAATTTATTGCGTATCATAAATTATTCATTAGTTTAATAGGTGAAATTTGTTCACAATGCGTGAAACATTTATATTAATCAGTAACTAAGTAGTGTTTATTGTTTGTCTAGTTCCTTAGTACTGATCGAATTCTATCGATCAATTTAGGTGACTTGGCACTGTTCTAATGTTAGATATTTGGAGGTAGTGGACACACTTGTTAGCAAAGTGTACTTGTAATTTTGGGGGAATCGGTGTCTATTGTAGGATTTAATCATGTGATATATAACTTTATAGTTTGAGATGTTACCAGTTAGCCAATTTATGATCATTGACAGAAAAGATAGGAAGTAGTTCTGTGAATTCAGTTATCCACTGTAAAATGAAGTGAACTAAGAATCTATTGACGTACTTGAATGTAGTTAACAAATACTTAATTAAAGTTGAGTCGAAAAAGGAAAATTTCGTAATTGCGATAAACATACAATTAAGACCAATGATTGAATAACGTCTTACTGAGAATCAGTCCCAATTCTGGTGAGGGCAGATACATGCACTTTCTTACTTTTGATTTTAAATCTTTATACACACATACTATTCTTCTGATTCATTGTAACATTTTATCCATCTATACTGGTGGTAATAAGGATAAAACTATAATTTATGGACAACCTTTGAGCGATGCTTAAGTAAAATTGAGAATGTTCACCTACTTACTATGGTTAAACCAGGCTTATAAAATACTGTGAAAAAGCAGGATTAGAATTTACAGTTGGAAGTTAGGGTCAGGAAGCAGAGTTAGAGCTTTCATCACGAAATGACATCAGCTATAATGTTAAAATGCTATCTATCCATATGGATGTATGCATTTCACGCCAGAATCCAATACTTGCTATCTTAAATCTGATTGGTCCGTTCATGAATGATATTCACGTTACGATAAATGAAATTCAGTTCAACAGACAATTTTGTGATATTCCTATACATTTGGT